TAGTTTGATACTTCTTTTCAAATTCCTCTTTCTGATTCTACGAGCTTCGCATGTTGATCAACGCTTAACACTTATCCAGGTTTTCTTCGATTCCCCAACAAGTGATCATAAACCCCAAAAATTTTCCACCTTGAACCCCGAAAACACATTTTTCAGGGTTCAACCTCATGTTATGTTTTCTAATCTATTTAAAGATCTCTACTAGGTCTTGGACATGCTCTTCAGCCGACTTGGTTTTGATGACCATGTCATCTACATAATCTTCAAGGTTACGACCCAATCTGATTGGCAAAAACTTTGTCCATCAACTGTTGGTAGGTAGCTCCTGCATTTTTAAGCCCAAATGGCATAACTCGATAACAATAATTTTCTTGTTCTGTAATAATGTAGTATATTCTTCATCAATGGGTACATCAAAATCTGGTTATAGTTGGAATAAGCATCAAGGAAACTCAACATGGCATATCCTGAAGCTCCATCTACCAACCTATCAATGCTAGGGAGAGGGTATGCATCTTTAGGACAAGCTTTGTTCAAATCTGTATATTTAACACACATGCGCCATTTACCATTGGATTCTTGACCATGACAACATTGGCTAGCCATGTTGTATATTTGACTTCCTTGATGAAATTGGCATCCAAAAGTTTTTGCATTTCGGACTTTGCAGCTTCTCTTCTTTCGCCTCTAATTTTTCTTCTCTTTTGAGATATAGGCTTAGCTTCCTTGCAAATTGCTAATTTGTGGCAAATGAAATTGAGATCAATCCCAGGCATATCTACACTACACCAAGCAAAGAGATAAGCATTTTCAAGTATAATTGACATGATCTTACATTGGATATTTGCTTCAATGTGTTTCTCTATCTTGGTGCATTGATTTGGTTGCTTTCCAATTTGAAACTCGAAGAGTTCGTCAATAGGGCTCGGTCTATGGTCATGCATGTCAACTCGAGGATCTAAATCTGTTAAGACGTCCACATCAATAAGAGCCATGATTGGAAGAGAAGTTGTCTCACATGGAGCTTGGCAAAGTTGATTTTCAAACTCTCGGCATAGCATTTCGTGCTATTTGATAATTGGCTTTGATAGTGACCATGTTCCCATTGAGGACTGAGAATTTCATGGTAAGATGAGGTGTCAATACTACTACTCCAAATTGGTTTAAAGTTGGTCATCCAATAAGGATATTATACGAAGTAATAGCATCGACCAATAAATACTTCACCAAAATCCTTCTTGAATTTTGTGTTGTACAAAAAGAAGTTAATAACTCGATGTAGCCGCGAGTATGTACCCTTTCTCTTACAAAACCGACCAAGGGTTCTGAGTATGGTTGGATCATATGATGAGGAATGTCTAATTTTAAGAAGGTTGGCCAATATAGGACGTCAGCTGAACTTCTTTGGTCAATCAACATCTTCTGCACTTCCGAATTTGTAACTTCAACCGAGATGACCATGGGGTCATCTTGATTCAAGCAAATGCCCTTATAATCATCATCGGTGAATGTGATAGGGGAGTTGTCTTTTTGACTTTTAAAGTTGAATTGAGAACATTATTAATGTTGCGAATATTGTGCAGATGTCGTTTCCTAGGGGAATTAGAACTTCCTCTTCCAACAAAACCTCCTGAGATGGTATTTATGATTCCTCGGATGTTACTACCTTCTTGAGTTTTATTTGTGAGTTGTTGCTTATCATTGTTAGTGGTTTGTTGACCTTCCTCTCGCTAATCTGATTGATTTTGAAAGCTTTGATCTGATCAACTTTGGTAATTTTGATGACGTCCTCGACCTCTGCCACGTCCTTGGAAACTTCCTCGGTATGATTGGTTGCGCTGGATATATTGTCCGAGTTGCCTCGCTTATTCTTCAATTCTGTCTTTGAGAGTCCAACATTCCTCTATTGTATGACCATAATTTCTATGGTAACAACAATGCTTGCTCTTGTCGGCATTAGTTGGGTTATGTGTCGGTGGAGGCAGAGATATCAGATCTACATGGTTAGCTTCTTCTAGAATGTTTACACGGGGCATGTTCAAAGGAGTATAAAAATCACACCTTGGACCTCACGCTTGACGAGGTCTTTTCGATATCAGTATGTGTCTTTGGCTTGTCTTTCCCTCCTAATTCTCCCTTGGTAGGGATGCTATCTCGTACCTAGTTTCTAAACTTGGCATGTTCCTCCATTTGAATATATCCAGTCACCCCGTGCTTTGAGTTGATCCATGCTTATTGGTTGTTGTCAGCAAAGACTATCTACAAAAGGTCCTGGTTTCAAGGCCATGAGCATGGAATGCATAGCGACTTCAGGATTGAGATTACGAATTTTTATAGAAACGTCAGCAAAGCATTCCATAAAATGTCGTAAAGATTCATTATCTTGTTGTCGCAAGTTAGAAAGCGCGGCCGAGGTAATGTGGCAAGGTCTACTTGTAGCATATTGAGCCGAGAAGAGTCAGACCAATGTGTCAAAATTATCAACCGATCTAGGTGGTAATATATACCAACTCAAAGCATACCCTTTCAATGAAGTGGGAAAAACACGACACATGATCGCATCATTATTGGTATATAAATTGATCTGGGTGACATACACGTCAATGTCATCTGGATCTGAGGTACCCATCATATCTTTCGATATTTAATGTTTTTCAACTAGGTGGGAGTGGAACTTCTATGATACCATCTACAAAAGGGTGTCGATGAATAACATTGCAATCCAATATATGGTGAGATTTATAGCTGTCAAAACGGGTAGCCTGACCCATATGGGTGGCCCACCTTGACTCACTTAAAAAATGGGCCAACCCGACCCGACCCACTTTTAATTTTCTCCAAATTTTTCTGGCCTGGCCTGGCCCACCACGGGTTGGTGGGTTATACGGGCCAGCCCACCAACCCACCAAAAATTAAAAAAAAAATATTAACAAAATTCAAAATTTCAAATTAACTATAACTTAACATAATAATCATAAAATTAGCATCATTAATAGTCATAAGTTATAACTCATCATACAAAATTAAATACAAATTATGATAAAAGTCTAAAATAAAAAATTTCAATGTTCCATTATACACAATTAACTATAAATCATAATAAAATTTCAATTTAAAAAAAAAGTGGGTTGGTGGGCTACCCGGCCCACCACGAGTTCAACCCGGGTGGGTCGAGTTGAAATATACCCACTTACTATAAAAATTTTATTTATTTTGACCCCACCGACCCGTTTTCAAGGTGGGTCGGGTTGGCCTACGGGTCACGACCCATTTTGTCGGCTCTAGGGAGATTGACTATGATTATGCACGTGTTCGGATCGATGAGTCAGGGCATGTTTAGAGTGATAGGTAGGATCTGAAAAGGAATGAAGCCCTTCTTCAGATAGATGGACATGAATACTTGATTTGTAGGTGATGGTGGTTGATTTGTAGATGGTGTTGGTTGATGTTGTTGCCATTGGGCTCTAAGAGCAACTGTTGGAGATCGACTTCATGTTATTTGCGCATGGCTTCCATAATTGTAACATTTTGTTGTTGCATATGTTCCACTTGTTCTAGTAATCGTCGTAGAGTTGCGCTATCTTCCATATTTGACACGTTTTGACATGTTCCAGTTGTGTCTCAAGCTTGGCTTCGAGTTGGAACCACTTCTAGTGCCAAATGTTTTTACCAGAGTAAGATTAGTCAACGAGATCGTCCAATATCATTGGCCTTTGAAATCGACACTGAAGTCCTCGTTGTCCAAGAACAATGGGAGTACTTGCAAAAATGATTACGATGATCAAGTTAGAAAAACATTCTCTTTTCTCTTGTAAAATAATCTGTATTTACCTGTAGAAGAGACCATTTGTTACGTCCGTTTCTTTTTTTGATATAAATATTTTTTACGGTTATCTTATACAAGCTACTTGTAATTGAATTAATCGAGATTTATCTCGATGTAATAAAATAAATTGGATTATCAAATAAACTTAATGTCCAGGATTAAGGCATGAGTTGATCTTGGTTGTACTCAGTCCAAGGTCAAATTATAAAATGATCTCGGTCAAATTTGGCATGTTATCACCTCGGCCTAATACCAGCAAGGTAAGTACAATACTCCTTCAGATTATTGATTAATTATAACAAAATTTAATAATTTTAAAAAAAATGACATAATTATTTAATGCAATCAGTTTAATACTAATACAATTATTTGTTTGTTTATATTATTAATAATATATGTATATTAATTTTTTTATTATATTATATAGATAAATAAGATGGTTTAAGATTTAGGGTTTAGGGTTTATTATATTATATAGATAAATAAGATGGTTTGTCAAGTCTACTAAATTATTTTTTATAAACTTTAAGTCTAACCTTTTTAAATAAATAGACCTTTTTAAAAATCTAAACCAAACGTGTGAGATCATATGTATCCCACTTGTTTAATTTTTAGTTAAAGTATTAAGTATCATTAATTCCATATCACCTTCGCTCAAGAGTGACTATGTTTAGTGTTAAGTAATTAGTAAGTGACTCGATCTCATAAAATATAAAATGTTTAGCTCAGTCTAGTCCAATCTCATACTCAGAGTTCCTAGCCTTTGAGAACTAGGTTAATAAGTAAATCCAAAATCCCTAATCCTACAATGACAATCGTTGTTCATTTTTATTAAAAAGATTATATCAGATCAAACTTTAAAAAAACCAAATTATAAGTTCCTATTTAAAATCTGACTTATTTCTATTCCTATTACAAAACAAATGTTAAAAAAGATCAAGCAAACGAATTGACAAGTGCAAAATGAATGTACGATTTCTCTACAACGACTTGAGTTGCTAGAGTTGCATTTAGAGGCAATAACATCAATCACTCCCCCTATTTTGTTTTTTACACAATGTAGATGTACAATTTCTAATTCATCTGAATTCAACTTTTGTGAGTGTAATCAAGTTGCATTTAAAATAAATAAAAAAAATAAACATCAGCTTATCTACTTCATGTAATATGTATAAGACCTGGTAACAAGCAGTTTGTATATATTGACGACGATAGATCTGATTAGTTATAGATTGTATTAACAATATCTTTCCACAGCCTTCGCAGAACAAGATTAGTAGAATTGTGTAATCTCATTTGTGAGCAACATCTTTTCTAGGAATGATCTCTACATCTAATAATACGGAAATCATTCTTGCGTATCAACATATGAGTTTTGCATTGGTATTATTGTCCTCAAATCACTATCAAGCTGGTTTTTTTGAATCTTTAAAATCTCGTTACAATACAGGGAGCTGTTACCCAAAAGGTGTCTCCAACTTGTGTTACACTGCAGGATTAATCATCGGTGCCGAAGTAGCGATCACCAAATTCACCCAAACCTGGGATAACACGATACTCTTCGTTTAATTCAACGTCAATCTCAGATGTGACAATCTTCAGTGATGGAAACCTTTTACACACACAATGGATTCCCTCGGGAGCCTGAATTCACAAAGACCCACAATATGTAAACAGTAAACAGTGTGAAATGATAATCAAATAACTAAGATTATATATCAGCATAGAAGGCATCAGAATTAACTCACAGAAATGAGATTCAGGAATATAATATGATTTTCTGGTACTCCTTTCTGAATGAGTAATTCAATTGCTTGGTTGGCAGAGTTACCTAAAATGGAAATTATACATGTTATCTTTTTTTTATCAACCACCAGATAATAATAAGGATACCAAAACATCGCCCGTAGAAGCTACTAGACTAGTACAGGTGAGACATCCCAAAAATAGTAGTTACGAAATAATTTAGTGGGTCAGCACTTTCAGCTTCACTGATTTCTTATGCAGAGAATATAGAAATAAACTTACGCCTATGTTGTGCCAAATTCAATTATATTTTATTTATATCATCCATTACTGCATCGCTGATTTCCAAGAAAATAGTATTTCTACATTTACAGTTATCATTCATACCAGTAGCATAACATGCTACTTGGCTATTCTGTTTATACATAGCATTAATAGGGTTTCTTTCCCATGAAATCAAATGCAAATAAAATTGTGAGCATTAACTGCAGCCATAAAGGATTTCAGGAAAAAATGCCTATTGAAATATGATGCGGTAAAAATATATAAAGTGGGGAAAAAATCGTGGTAGGACATTTAAAATCTTTACCAGTGGCCAGGACAGGGTCAAGAAGTAAGACATGCCGTTCTGAAATATCCTTGGGAAGCTTCTCATATATAAGCTGCTCAGAGAAGCAAAGGGTTTAGCATCGAACACCAACCAAATCAGTAGAGAAGCTATACATAAGTCAACTTCATGGGTTCCAAATAATTCATTTACCTGTTTTCCATTGTCTCCATCCCGGTGAATCAGAATTTTTCCAATTTTAATGCCTTTACAACATGCACGAAGGGCATTTTCCATGCTCTCCCCACTATAATCCAAAAACAATGAAAAATAATAAGCCCAAGGGAAATAGCCTAAATAAATTGAAGAAAATAACTGCACTGGGACAAAATGTTTGCTGAAAACGGTATACACACCATGCCCCCAGTTAAATCTAAGATCATTAATCCAATTAGACAACGGAACTGTTAGTTCCATCATTGCATTTCTAATAGTACCCTATCATTTACATTGCACCTTCCAAAATTAATACCTGGTTCAAAGCTCACCTTCGAACAATTGAAACACCACACAATTTTTTGCAGAAATCAACACCAGTATAGACAGATCCTGCAATATAAAACTCATTTCAGTTAATTAGTGCTGCAAACATAAACCTGCATTTATGAACTACTGTCGACCTCTCACTTCATTACCGGCATGTTACAATTCACAAAGCATAAATCTTGATCCCCAAACAAGAGGAGGAGTTATAATGAACATAAACTGCAAGGACTGAGGTGAGGACAAGGACGAATGATTACCTGTGGGAGTAACCACTTGCTTTTCAGTGAAAGGCAGATGACCTAGACCATGCTCAACAACCTGATAACCAAAATCATAATTCTTATGCACCATAAGTATTGAAAACTAATGAACGCAAGAAATTCAGCAGAGCTACAAAGCATAAATACCAGGCGTATAAGTCGATCTGAATAAAATACGAAATCATGTTTTGATATGTCTCGGTCACGAATCAATGTATGCATTCCCCTTATCTGAAATGTATAAGCATAACCAACAAAATATAGATGAATCAAATCATTATATTACAGAACTGGGTAAAATATAGAAAGACAGTGGTTATTGACAAGAATGAATACGGTCATTCTATACCATAGAAATTTCAAGAGTTTAAGATCTCTTCCCTAGACCATTCTTCCATTAAATTGATCTCTAGTTTTCTCTAACCATCCCTTTGTATTGTATCTCAGCCAATCTGTTAGAATCCTTATTTACCATCACCATCTTATTCTTAACCCCATAATGACAGAAACCAACACATTGGGCTTACTTTAGGACTTAAAGAAATGACAGCCTAACCAAAAAAAACTAGCCCATTAGGTGAGAAAACCTCATGCTTTAAGTACCATATGGAGCTTCTTATCCTACTCAATGTAGGACTCTTAACATTGCTACCCTCTTTAAGAGTTGACATCCACTACAACTTTCCCTCCATCCACACTAATCCGATAATAGTCATTTTCTCTTTGATGGCTTCACACACCTATCAATATTCTTTGTACCTTAATCTAGCCTATAGATAGTCCCTTCTGTAGCCCAATGCCCAACTCTTAATAGAAGCACGGGTTGATAGGACTTAAAGCCCGAAAGACTAGTCCATTAGGTGAAAGTTTTACCTCTTGTAGCATAAAACCTTAGTGTTGCAAGCAAAGCACAAATCTTCACTTGAGCATCGAAGGGTCAATGCAGTCCACATAAACAGATACCTTGTTACATGTGGCATTTGATGGTATTAAAACATATAACTCCCCATGTAGGAACATTAGTGGCTTAAGTCAAAGGACTATAGATACCATGGTCACCTCGAGAATCACTTATGACACTCATATAATGTTCTATTTAATCTTGCTCATGTGATTGCTCTCCTCTCAAGTGTAAGGGGATTGTGCCTTAGACATACCATGCGACAAAGACAAGAGTCCTTTCTTAGACTCATACATATTAATGTGTCGTAACACTTTGTATATATATGAACTATGACTTGTCAAGCAGTTTTGGTATCGATCTCTATAGATCCTAGTACCAAATAGAAAACTTTTAAGTTTTTTTTCTTTTTTTTTTCATTTCCACCAATAAAAAATTATAAAGTAAAGGGGCTGTAAAGGTTCATAAAGTAAAGTAATGCGGTCTGTTTTCATGAGTACTAAGGATGTGCCACTGAATTTTCCCCAAAAGTTAAATAATAAAAAAGTGGAAAAATAAAAAATGACACATTATGTTTACAGATACCTGGAATGTTGACTGAATAACATACACGTTTGGATATATTTTGCATAGATCATGTTGACCAAGTTTTGTACGAATATGTTGCACAATCAAATCAATGGCAACATGATTATCGCCTCCACGTGGAATGATCACGTCAGCATACTTTTTTGATGGAAGAACAAAATCATCAAATGCAGGCTTAACAAATTTTGCATACTACAAAACCAACATTACAAGCAGTTAGGGACAAATCATGGAAGACTATGAAATTCTCTCTCTATTCAAGCATCAAACTTTCTCATGCTTACTATTTAAATTATTGGACTTACCTGCTCAAGAACAGAGTTTATATCCCTGCCCCTCTCCACTGTGTCACGTCTAATTCTACGAGCAAGCCTCACATCAGCATCTGTAAGCAATTAATAACCACATATGAAATTAGACAGAGGGCACAGTGGGAGGAGCTTCCATTACCATATAAAATACTAATCTAAAAGTGTTTGCTTTGATGTTTACAAATTTATTCCAGGAATGTGATCTTGGAAAAGTAATATACCAATAACCCATATTCTTAGGTACTGTTCATGCCCAATAAAGTAGTAACACCTTGTTCTACTTAATTTTTATTCTCATAGTGAGTGGTGGGAAAGCTATTTCGCATAGGAAGATGGGATGTTATTTTCTAATCCAAATATAACTTCCATTTCTATTAAACTTTTTATTCTGATCATTTGAATTATAAAATATATTTCTAGGAATATTAAAATCTAGCCATACATATTTTTTATTTTATTTAGAAATAACATTCTAGGTCATAGTATTCTTGGGAATGTCATTCCTAGGAATGCAATATTATACCTTAAAACAAATGCCAACCACAGAATTTACCACAAAATGAAAGGAATGGAATGGTGATGAGCATAGGAAACATATAAACAAATAAGTTAACTAAACCCTCATATCATGTGACTGAGCATATACCAGATACATTACAATCCACAAAGTATAATCATTCATGAGACAAGGAAGCCTAATTGGTTAGAAAATTTAAACCACTATATGTTTAAAAAGGAATATCTTCCCGTTTATTTAACTAAAAAGAATGCAATGCATTCTACTCTTCTATTTCTACAGATTTTCTAGAAAACCATCCGTATAAGCCATCCAATTGAAAATTCATCCTGCTTTACTGTAGTAGTCAAACAATAAACATGAGCATTGGCAATGAGTTTTTAATTTACTGTGATAACTTCAGCACCCCACGGCTTCAGTGCCACATAAATTATGCTGGGTACCAGTTGATTCTAGAAGTTTATTTCTTTCATATTCTTAACAAAACAAACAATTCGTGCATGTTCTCAAGTCTTTTATTTCACCAAGCATTCTCAGAAAGGCAACAGAACATTTCAACGGGAGACAAGAAATAAAGGCCCCAATTAATTAGCAACTGTAGCACTATTGTTTTTATATAAACAATTCATAAACTCACAGTTGACCAAGGTTTTAGAAAACATCGGTCGCAACTGCAATTCCAGCCACAACATCAAGGTTTCCAGACTCTCCACAACCACATTTAGATTGCAATTGTGCACGACATCAAGGTATGTGCGACAAAAACGCACTTGCAAATTTAAAACCTTACACATTGCACATCATTGTTGAAGGGTTAAGGTACAAACGCATCAAACCTGTGTCAACAAAGATCTTCATGTTCATGAGATCCCGCACACCCTGATCATGGAACACGAGAATTCCCTCCAATATAATCACATCAGAGGCATTAACCTGAGCAAAGAGTACCACGTCAACTAAAATAAAATCCTAAAACAGTAACACACCTGAAACCAAAAACCAAAAGACATCATTCAAAACCTGGCGAAAGCTATCGGAAGA